ACACACACACACACACTCTCTCTCTCTCTCTCTCTCTCTCTCTCTCTCTCTCTCCTCTCTCTCTCTCTCTCTCTCTCTCTCTCTCTCTTCTCTCTCCTCTCTACTCTCCCCTTCCCTGACTCTATCCCTTCCTCCTCCCTTTCCCTCCTTACCCCCCTCCCTTCCCCCCATCCATTATCCCATTGTCCTTCGTTCCAGGTGGTGCCGAGGGGGGAATGTGACGCAGATGGTGACGGAGAAGAAAAAAGACATTGAAAAAAATACGAACTGGAGCATTGTGTACAGACAGCTAGTGAAGAAGGCGAGGGGAAGGGGATATCGGAGGAAGAGGAGGAAGAGGAGGAAGAGGAAGAGGGGAAGAGGGGGATGGGAAGAGAAGGGGGGGTGGGGAGAGGATGGCGGAAGAGGTAAAGGAGGAGGAAAATGGGTAGATGGAAAGATAAGAATGAGGAGAGAAAAAATATGACGATGCTGATGCTGACGGAGAACAAAAAGTTAACCCAGAAAAAATGAGAAAGAGGAAATATAAGAGATGGGGAGGAGGGATAGGCGGAAGAAGAGGAGATAGGAGAAGTAGAAAACGAGAGGGGAAAGGGAGGAGCCGAAGGGCGGGGAAGAGGCAGCACCTAACACGTGGGCGCCGAGGGGGACACAGACGATGGGCGGTCTGTTGCCGCTTGAATTCACTGCCTCTTGGATCCGCCCTCGCTTTACTCCCTTTCCCCCCTTCCTCTTATTTTCCTCCTCTGTCCTCTTCCATATCTCCTTCGTTCTCCGCTTCCCCTGAACACTTCACCCTTTCCTCTACGGAATATTTCTTTTCTCCTTCTTTCAGCGCCTTTTGTATTTTCTTCTTCTTCTTCCTCCCTTTATTTTATCCTTCCTATTTCCTTTCCTCTCCTTTTTCTTTCTCCCGATCCTTTCTCCCCTGCTTTCTCCCCATCCCTTCCTCCTCTTCCCTTCCCCTTTCGTCTCCACCCTCCTTCTCCTACCTCCCCCCCCCGCCCCACCCACGCCTCGGAGCCTGTCATCGGCGACCGCGAAGGAGAGCGTCACGCTGAAGTGGCGGCGACGCCTTCCGCCTCAGTGGGACGCCCGAGACAGCCAGGGGACGCCAAGGAGGAGGGGCGTGTTGGGGGACGGTCTAGCGAGGGGGCGGACATCCAGGGGACGCCACGGAGGAGGAGGGGCATGTTGGGGGACGGCCTAGAGGGGGGCGGACAGCCAGGGGAACAGCAGGGGAAGGGAACGGCCTGGGGG